TTTTAAGCATGTTAACGAGAGCGAGAGAGCGCAGTGTCAGCCACGTGACGTAACCAATATAAACTAATATAAAACAAAACCGGAATTGACCATCAAGATCTGCAGTGTAAATGCAGCCAAAAACACAACCACATACCTCACAGCTGAGACTGCGCACACATGCCTGTCGCACCACGCTGAAGAGCTGAGGCTGCCGGGGATGTTGATGGCTCAGATAGCGGATTCCTGTCTCACCATCCACACTCACAAAGCCTGGGTGAGACGCAGGTAAAGAGCGACAGCCCTGACAAGAGAAACACAGATACTGTATTAGACTACAAATTTGTGGATTCACATTTGGGTTATGATGATGACACTCCCCTCTCGCTCACCTCACACATGTCCGCTCTCTGTGTGGCAGAGCTGTTGGCCCTCATGGTGAGCCCTTCACCCTCTCGGTCAGCCTCCCGCTCTCGCTCTCCGGGAATGGCTGAGCCCGGCTGTGGAGGTGAAGGGGACGGAGGGTGGACGGCTTCGGTACAAAACAGCGTCCGTGGGCCATGGAGCTCACAAAAGTGGCACAGGGCAACTAAAGCGTTCATCTGGAGGAAACAAACATATTCTTATATGAGATGATGAATTATCAGCTTTATAGATTTTAGAGATATAGATTTTGATATTATGAGTTTGGTTTATAGCACAGGTGTCAAAGCCAGTTCCTGGAGGGCCGCAGCTCTGCAGTTTAGTTCCAGCCCTAATTAAACACACCTGATCAAACTTATAGAGTCTGTGGCTGTTTCTCAATATGAGTTCTTCAGCGGTCTTGCGTCCTCGTGTTCTCATGCAACGTCATCATCAGCTGCCTAAGTTCACTTCCAATACTCAAGACTGCAAGTATGGAGGACGTGTGAAACTTCCCGGATGTGTTCTTGATATCGAGGACGCACTGATGCAGACTTGAACACCGAACTCGCTCTGTAAGTCCCAGAAGTCATTGCGACTGGCGATGGGAAGTGCAGCATTTTATTTAGATTTATTATTAAAGTTCAGAGATATCACTTATTTACCTCAGGAGTTTCCCTAAATGAAACAGTGAAAGTAAACATTAACATGAATATCTTAATAAAGGAATAAACACATTAAGGGTGTTTGTTTGCTGAAATTCGTATTAAAATTAGTTTTATTTATATTGTGCAGAGTATATTTATAATGCTTTTATACAAAGTATATATTTTGAAGAGGGGAAAAACAATAAATCGTGGTATGAGAGCTGTAATGTTTAAATAATTTTCATTTAAAACGCGTGAAGGTCACGTGACCATCAGGAAGAACGCATCATTTAATTTCTCAAAGGACGCGTTCTCTGCCCTCGCTGTCTCCTGAGTTCGTTCTTCCGAGGACACCTGGCAAGACCGGTCTCCACAAGAACGCAAGTCCGTTATCTGCTTTCTTGGAATTGAGAAACAGCCTGTCAGTCTTGTTTGAAACCAACAGGTAATGCCACAGTCACATTAGAATTTGAGTATGCAAAATTCTGTCGTACAGTGCTGCAAAAAGAGGCGGTGTTAAACAAGAGGATTAGACATTTAAAAACAGCGAGCGATTGTTCCATGATTTAAATTTCTGTGCAGAAAAGTCAGAGCGGGAGAGGTCTCACACAATCATGTGATGTGATTTTGCAGGTCAGAGTTCACCAAACTTGAAGTTTGCAATGCAGCATATTGCAAAACTTATCGCACGAGCTTGCGTTTCCATTCTGACGCATTTGCGTGCGTATGAATGTAAGTCTATGGGGAGAAAAGTGCAGTGTGATTGCAGCTTCAGTGTGTTGAAGCAGGGCTGGAACTAAACCATGCAGGGCTGCGGCCCTGCAGGAACTGGCTTCGACACTTGTGGTTTAAAGGGGTAATTCATCCAAAAATGAATATTTACTGACTATTTACTCACCATGTGGTTCTTCTAAACCTTCATGAGTTTCTTTATTTTGTTGAACAGAAAGGTAGATATAATAAAGAAAGCTGAAAACGTGTAACCTTTGGCTTCCATAATAGGAAAACAAGTATTATGAAAGTCAACGGTTACAGGTTTTTGACATTTTTCTAAATATTATCTTTTTTGTTCAACAGAAGAAAGAAAGTCTTAATGGTTTGAACCAAGAAAATAGTAAGTATAGGATGACAGAATTGTCATTATTGGGTAAACTGTCCTTTTAAAGCCGCACAATAATCTGCTTGTTAAGTCATAATGTATGGAATACTGTTTCTTGGTCCAAGTCACTACTCATTTGAATCGAGCAAATATTTGTTTATGACCACTTTTTATTTATATAACACATGGTAAAGTAAGCTTCTTACAAAGTCAGAATGAACCACGGCGGAATGTACCACCAATTACTCAATTACAGGGACTCAATTATTCAAGGACTAAGCTGAAGTTCTCTAGACTTCCACCAATATTTTACCAATTTCAAAAAAAAAAAAATTCATCTGAGCCATCTGATATTAGGCATGGATCTAAATATATTTATCATAACTTTCAAAAATATTACTGTGCTTTGTGTGTTGCTACTAGTACCATTTGATGAAAGTGCTTGGACCTGAAAGCTGTGTTGCTTGACGGTAGACCTAACAAGCGAATAGCATTTCGACATCTTCACAGTAATAAGAAATAAAGTTTCACTTGTAAGATATATCAAATAGAAGCATCCAATTGTGAGAAATACAAGAGCAAGTACGACAAGTAAAATTAAAATTGAGAAACAATGTCACAATTAATGTGAGAAATAAAGTCTTAGTTGCTATAAAATTAATTTGTAATTGTAAAATATACAAGAGTAAATATGATAAATAAAGCTGCAATTTTAAGACAGTCACAATTATGATAATTAAAATTGCAATTATAACAAATAAAGGCAGAATTATGTTGTGAAATAAGGTTGTAAATTGTAAGATTTAAAGACAAAACTGTGAGAAAAAAATGCAATTGTAAGATATAAAATAATTATAAGATATTACATCATTGTTAAATATTCCTTAGATTTATTAGACATCAAAATGTGTGCTACCTCAATAACTGAAACAGTCACATCACAGTGTTGAGGAGGGATTATTGTAGGACTGTGCAAAATATTACAATTGTTGAAATATCACAGATGTATATATCATGTTATAAGTATTGCAATGTTAATAAACTATTTGATACAAAAGTATCCTTGTGTGACTTCCACTAGCACTTTTTGAAATAGATTCACAACTGTGAGACACAAAATAAGCTGCAATTCTAAGACACACAGCTGTGGTTGTAAGATATTAAGTCACAATTGAGAGATATATTTGCAAATGTAAGATTTACAAAGAAGAACAATGGTGTTTATGTGAAATAAAGTTTCATTTATGAAAAATAATGTTGTGATTGTGAGATATTTTTACACCTGTGAAATACTCATCAATTCTGAAAAAAAAATTTAATAGTGAAATATATAAAGTCATGGTAGAAAGTAATGTTTACATGTGTAATGGACAGAGAAATAATCCGTATTATGAGGAATAAAGATGAAAAAAAAAAAAAAAAAAGTGAATATAAAGTTTTAACTGCGAGATATCCAGCCAGCATCATACTGTCAATTAAAGTTAAAAATAAAGTTAACTAACTAGTTGTAAAATAATAACATCGGCATATTTAATGTTTGTTTTATTACTCAGTTTGAGTTTGCGATTTTAGATTTTAATCACTCTACATACAGCATATTTCAATAAATTTAAAATATAACAACCCTATTCTTATCCATAATCTTAAGATTTCATTAAAGGAGTGAAAAAAAAAAAACATTCAACAAATGTAATTAAGGAAGTCATCAGTAAATTTAAATATAACAATCCAGAATACGTATGTTACAACATACAATATAACGCCTTAGTTATGTAAAGAGGTATATGATATATTTGTTCATTTTTATGTATTCACAAACCTAAATAAAAAGACACACGTTCCTTACCTGGGTTAGCTGCGTGAAGCTTTAGCGCCGACTGGTACTTACAGTAAATTATGAACAACTGAACATTACATTACAAAGCGTTGACAATGGCAACCATCTACAGGTTCTGCATGTTCATCAGCCTTCCTTACAATTTAACGTATAACTACTATTCAACATAAATGGGTCGCTATTCTCATCGATACAGAGCTTAGTAAATTTATCCTGAAACGCGATCGTAATTAATAGTTTTATTGTGTTTATGTTGTCCTTTTCAGTCTTGTGTGTCATGTGATGGGAAAGTCACGCGCTTAGATCACAACAACGCGTGTGTGTGCGTGACTCACAGCTGCTCTTGTCTCTCACGCTGAACAGCCATCGGTACAGTCCAAATAATCCACCAAAATGTTCTTCTGGTGTTTTTTACATGGTGAACGAGGTATATTTTGATATTTGTAATTGATGTGAGCTCTTCCGTAATCTCCGAATGCCTTCGAGCAAGCCTTGATCCTTTAGTGAATCTTCTTCAGGGTGAATCGGATCTTTTTTGATGATTCAGTTGAGCAGGCCTTAATGAGTTCTTACCTGAATATTCATTTACAAATCACTGGTCAAGAAGTCGAGTTAGCAACGAAATGTGCAAAAAATTCCAGCAAAATGAGTTAATTAATGTTTAGTATTGTACATTTTAAATGCAAGTTTCGTTCGTGTCATGCAATTTGGCTGGAATAAACATAATTACAGTGCAACACACTGAATTACAATAAATATATTTCATTAACAACAACAACATATGAAACCATAATCCATGTTTTTTTTTTTTGAGTCATTTTATGTCATATACATAAATCAGGTGCAAAATTGAAATTAAAATATGCCCAAATTGAACTGTGCAAAAGAATCGATTCGCGGAAACAATTCGGACCTTCCACTGAAGAAAAACTACAATACCCAAGCTTCCATTTCAAACAGGAAGTGGCGTTTATGCACGTTGTCCCGGTAGTACAGTAAGTAAAATTGAAAATAATGAATACATATATAAAAAAAAATAAGTGTACACTCTACTAGAAATCTAAACAATATGTTAAAAATTACTATTTTTCATCTACACTGTTTTTTTTCTATTGGTTTTAATCATTCACGTAGCCGTGTATATACACTAGCTATGAGTCATTTGTGGCAGATGATGTCATCCTGTACATGTTAACATTTAAACTAACCAGTCAACAAGCTAAGTTGTGTGATACTTTCTCGGGTTCTTCGAGGTAGGTCATAATAATCTCAACTTAATGTTCTTGTCACACCGACTACAGTAGAACATTATGGCAAAATGACACCACTTAATGTTACGTTGTTTTCTTTCTATATGACTAAATGAGACACGTCTGTTTCAGTTGAAGCTCTGTTGAAGCTGTCAGACATGGAGATTGAGGAAGAGACAACTCGGGGAAACCCCACTGAGGAGTCTGATCAACAGATCCAGCCAGGTAAAACACATTATATTTATTTACACTCTACTGAGATACAATGTCATCTATACATTTAAAAATATGTTTTTAGATTCTACAGGTTATTAATCACCATTTGAGAATTATAGTAATTGTGAATTTTGTGGTTTTGTTTTGTTTTAAATAGTTTAAAATATGTTTCTTCAAACTGGGCTTAAACTAATTTACTTTTGAGGTGATAAAAAGGTTGAGCTCTCCGCCTTCAACAAATACTAGATATTATGACGCTACGATGCAAGTGACCTGAAGATGGCAGTGAAAATCGTTTTTAATTCACTCATTATAATCTCTTGCCAACCATAGGTTTGTTTTTGTACAAAATTGCTGTAGGCTTACTGTAAGTGCAGGGTTGATAATATAAAACTCACAAAGAGAGGTCTGCTTCAAACTACTACTGCTTAAAGCACATACAGGAACAACAATTATTGTGCTATATATGATGACCGAAAGTCCAATAGCTTTAAAACAGGGTGTCTTAAAAAGTATTAAAAGTTGATAGATCAAAGTAGAAATATTTAAGTGCCTTACAAAGTATTAAAAAGTCTTAAATGCTATTTTGCAAGGTATTAAATTGTATGTCATTTTTGATTATTCAATGTATGGTTAAATGCTAAAGTTTGCCTAAATGAAAAATCTGCGAAAATCAGGATGCTGTGTAGTTTATGAAATCAATAAAATGCAAGATTAGATGGGTGTTTCCCAAATGTGCCAGAATAGTTGGATGAAAATTTATTTATCCATCTATCCATCTATCCATCCGTCTATCTATCTATCTATCTATCTATCTATCTATCTATCTATCTATCTATCTATCTATCTATCTATCTATCTATCTATCTATCTATCTATCTATCCATCCATCCATCCATCCATCCATCCATCCATCCATCCATCCATCCATCCATCCATCCATCCATCCATCCATCTATCCATCTATCTGTCTTTCTATCTGTTCTATCCATCTATCTGTCCATCCATCTGCCTATCCATCCGTCCGTCCGTCCGTCCGTCCGTCTGTCTGTCTGTCTGTCTGTCTGTCTGTCTGTCTAACTATCCACCTACCTACCTGCCTGTCTGTCTGTCTATCTATCTATCTATCTATCTATCTATCTATCTATCTATCTATCTATCTATCTATCTATCTATCTATCTATCTATCTATCTATCTATCTATCTATCTATCTATCTATCTATCTATCTATCTATCTACCTGTCTGTCTGTCTGTCTGTCTGTCTGTCTGTCTGTCTGTCTGTCTGTCTGTCTGTCTGTCTGTCTGTCTGTCTGTCTGTCTGTCTGTCTGTCTGTCTATCTATCTATCTATCTATCTATCTATCTATCTATCTATCTATCTATCTATCTATCTATCTATCTATCTATCTATCTATCTATCCATCCATCCCATATATGTTTGTTAGTTTGTGTGAACATTTATAAGCATTTATATAATTTTGTTTCATATTATCATCAACCATTGTTTACACTTTTGAGTGTAAGTCAATGTTGAGGAATTCTGCTATTGCCACTGTTGATAACCATGTTTACTAAAAACACAATAAAGTTTAAGTAAAAAAAAAAAAAAAATATATATATATATATATATACTATTATATACACTCACTCAAATATATATATTATTATATTTATATATATATTGTCATTTTTTTTTGCAGCTGTAATCTTACTAACCCCAATCTTTTGAACGGTATTGTGTTTTGGCTTGTTATGTCATAAGAGGTGTGTAGACGTGTAGGTGGAGGGTGGAGTGGAATTGAGGCTTAAGTTGCACTGAAACAGACATAAGCCTCAGATTTGCATTTTTGTTAACCATAACTTTTCTTTTATTTCAGAGTTATAAATAAACATTATGATAATATGTTTATATTAATACATTGTTTTCATTTCTGTGAATGATTTTACTCAACTTCCTCTCCTTCCCTTCATATGACTTCAGATGAGATTAAACAAGAAACTGGCCCAAATATTTGCCAGCACTTCCTCATGGGCAGATGTCATTTTGGAGACAGATGTCGTTTGTCTCACAGGTCTGTCAGTCACCGGATGGTAGAGACTCAACTAGTGAACTTATGTAATGCTAGACATGATTTATTATCTGTATATTTTCTTTGCAACTGCAGTTGGAACAGCGTCTTGTAAAAGATGTAAAATGTGATAGATCTTGGCAATACACATTGAAGCTTAGTGGATAAATAATGCATGGCTTTTTCCTAACTTCACAGTGTGCTTGACGTCCCACAAACCACAAACTCCGAGAAAGACGATACAGCCGTCACAGAAAAGCAGAGCAAGAGCCGAAAAAATGGGAAAAAATGTCACGCAGACATACAGCATGAAAAGATTGAGAAAAAAGGTGTGATGATCAATTTAACAATGAAGACACTTTAACATTCCGATTCAATCTTCACATTTACAAATATACGCCTCCCTCAGGATCTAAGAAGAAGCCACGGATGCGTACAGCTGATGAAGTCATCTCCAGAATCATCTGGGATGCATCAGTGGACCCTGATGATTTTATAGTTGGCCACCTAGACCGCTTTCTAGGAGTGCTGGAACGCCCCTTCTCTGATTTCTCATGGGACACTCAGGTTGAAGAATCAGTAATATTGTTAAAGAAAAACTCCAGTTTAAATAAGAAAATAGGCTCATTTTACATCTTTCCTTGAGTTAAACAGTTAAGTTTTACCAATTTTTAATCCATTCAGCCAATCTTCAGGTTTGGCAGGAGCACATTTAGCGTAGCTTAGCATAGATCATTGAAATTGATTAGACCATTAGCATTTCGTTCAAAAATGACCAAAGAGTTTTAATAATTTTCCTATTTAAAGCTTGACTTTTCTGTAGTTACATTGTGTACTAAGACCAATAGCTAGAAGATAGGCATCATAATCAAGGAAATTTGCTGCCTTACCATGGCTGCAGCAGGCACAATATTACATAGCACACACATACTCCCTGTGCAAGCAGGTGGTCATGTTGTAAATTAATCTGGGGACTGTTGTCAGACACTGCATAACATCACTACATCTGCGACAACTGTGGTAAGGCAGCAAAATTGAGAGTGAGAGTATAGTTTATTAATTATTTATAGTTATTAATTATTTTATGTTGGTTGAGTAAATAATCTAATGACAGAAGATTGCAGTTTATATAGGAAAATTATCAAAACTCTTTGATTTTTGAGTGAGATGCTAATGGTCTAATCCGATTTAATTGTTTATGCTAAGCTAAGGCTAAATGGATTTGAAAAAGGTAAAACTGAAACTGAAGTTCTAGGGAACTTATAAATTCAGTATATTTTTTTCAAAAAAGTGGAGTGTTTGTTTAATCATCATGTATTGTGTGTTGTAATAAGCAGTCTTAAAGCTCATATGTTACTCATCAGGTGTGTGACTGTGACTTCTCTGAAGAGCTGGCACTCCCTCGCCATAGGATCCAGTATTTCAGCTACAAAGGCCAGCGGGTGTGGGATAGAGACAGTCGCACTGATCGGGTCTTTGGCTCAACAGGCCAGACTATTTTGCCTCCTTTTTGTGGTGAAAATCAACAACAAGGTGAGCGACAGTATTATTTTGGTCCATGCTTAGAAACTCTTCTCCAGTATTTTGTTAATAGTCTTGAATGGTCAGATGTAGAATTCAGAACCCTTGTTTTTAGCGACATCAGTGGCCATTTAAAGAAATGCAGTCAGCTATTGCTTGAATATGCTTCAGTGGCCGTATATACAGCATGCATAGGGAATTTCTAGTTTGAGACCTTCACATAAATAAATCAATAGACATGCGGTTATAAGCAACCTATGTCTTGTTTTTAAGTTACATTACAGGGTGTTCACACAATGTGAAAATACATTAAACTCATAGATGCAACCTATTTAAAAACATTGCGTTATTAGGTCAATGGCATGTAAAAAAGTTCATATTAGGAAATAAATCTATAAAATTCAGTTCAAAGCACATTTCTATTTAATGGCAATGTTTTAAAATAAGGGAGTTTCCCTGCCCTCATTATTGTGAAAACTTATTAATCACCACATGTGAACTAATCTTGTTGTATCATAAAATGTTGAAAGTTTAGTTCTTAACACATTTGCTGACTTTTAAAATAATTTGTGTGTGTGTGTGAGAATGAGTGAGAGATTAAATAATTAGTTTTATATTTTTTGTGCGTGTTTGTTGCCTGGACCAAGCAGCTTTTTTTCACATCGCATGATTCTATTTGATAGGCATATGTTTTCAATTATTACTATGCAAGAAACTATTTAACAAATCTATCAAAATATAATAATACAATAATAAAAACCGAATATGTTCATTTAATAATAATATTTAATAAGCATTTAAAACCCTAATAAGTGTTTCTTTCCAAGAGTGAATGCAATATTTTTTATTGGTTATGAGATTAAAACTCTTAATATTTATATTCAAAGGAATTTAGATTCAAATAAAAAAGCATAATAGAAATAATAGAAGAGTCATAGTGAAGATAATTTATTTACCACAAAATGCATTTTAATGTGTTTGTTGTGTGTGAAACAAAAACAGCATCATGCAATCAAATTGTAAACATTTAAGATATCATTCAAGTTACAAGGGGTCATGGTGGCGCAGTAGGTAGCAGGACCACCTCACAGCAAGAAGGTCGCTGGTTCGAGCCTCGGCAGGGTTAGTAGACATTTCTGTGTGGAGTTTGTATGCTCTCCCCATGATCACGTGGGTTTCTTCCGGGTGCTCCGGTTTCCCCCACAAGTCTAAAGACATGTGTCAATTGGGTAAGCTAAATTGTCTGTAGTGTATGTGTGTGAATGAGTGTCTGTGGATGTTTCCCAGTGATGGGTTGCAGCTGGAAGGGCATCCACTGCATAAAAGATATGCTGGATAAGTTGGCGGTTCATTCCGCTGTGGCGAGGATTAATAAAGGGACTAAGCCAAAAAGAAAATGAATGAATGAATGAATTCAAATAATAAAATATAATTTTATTATATAAACATGATATTGGTATAACTAATAGAATATTATATGAGGTAATCCTTTATTATAAGGTGTCCTTGGTACACATTACATGCACTTTGTTATAATTACTCGCAACTTTATTCATAATTACAGTAAATTATTCATAATGACCTGCAACTAACCCTGACCTGCTCTCTTAGCCTAACCACATAGTAAGTCAAATTAATAGGTTATTATTAAAATTAAAATTTCTGCTGTGTTCAGTGTTGGATGTATTTACTGTAGTTACAAAGTAACTCTTTACTGTATTTAAATTACTTTTTCGCCAATAAAGTAAAATAAAGATCACTTTTCATGTTTAGGTCCTTAAATTAAACTTACTTTTTTATAGATATATCTAAAATACTGTACACAAATTCAAGAGTTCTGTATAAATCAGTTCGGAGAAGCAGAATAATTTTTTATTTTTTTTAAACGGTAAATTAAATTAATTAAGGCAATTGCACATGCTCAAGAAAAATTTGAGTATGAAAATACTGTCATTATTTGTTATGTATGAAATATGGCTTCATTAATTTCCATCTCTCTTTTTGTTTTGGTGTATATCATGTTTACAACTGCTTAATTGTTAATCTTTTTTTTTTTTTTTTTTACCAAAGAAAAACGCCCTGTTTAACTCAAATGCAAAGACAGGGTGTCTGTGGGGTCTAAAAAAGTACTAAAAGTTGATAAATCAATGTAAAGAAAAAAATATTAAAAAGTCTTAAATGCTATTTTGCAAGGTATTCAATTTTATATCATTTTTGATTATTCAATGTATGGTTATATGCTAAAGTTTGCCTGAATGAAATCTGCGAATATCAGGATGCTGTGTAGTTTATGAAATCAATAAAATCCTGCTAGATTTGACATCATGCTGCTACTGCAGTAACCAAGGCAACACCGTTATTTCTGCAGTTCTATAGGCGCCAACCTGCTGAATTAGTTAGATTTAATAGCTTTTTATTCAGTATATGAATAATGTTTTAGTTTTGGATTAGTTTCTTACATTAATATTTATAAATATACTGTAAGTTAAAATCTCGCCAATGTTTCTGGTTGAAAAGTGGTTATAAGGTCTTAAAATGTATGTAGATTTTTAAAAATCGTCTGAAAATGTATTGAATTTCACTCTCTGATTCCTGTAATACTCTGAAAGAGTTTCATTTCTACTGTCTATTCATCGGGATTTATGGGGTGTTTAAGTAATATTGAGTCAAGTGATTCAATTACTTATTAAGTAATTACAGTACTCTTCAGATAAAGTAATCAGAAAATTAATTTAACTACATTTTGATCATGTAATTAATTACTTTATTTTGAGGTAACTTACTCAACATTAAATTGGTTAAAAAAGTTTAATGATTACTCTAAACAATAATGCAATCATTCAATTTCAGACAATCTAACATCTGACACTGGACAACAAGAAGAATCCACCAATGCAGCAGATGTTTCCACTGACCCTGATCAATCGACTGAATTATCTGAAGTACAGGATGATGTTGCATCTGTAATAACACCATCAAAAAACAAACAATCACAGGGAGACGCCCTAAATCACTCAGCAAATGAAAACGCAGAGGAAGAAACCAAAGACCACATCCTACTCTCCCAAACAGAATCTGCACCAGAAGGCGAAAACACAGCAACTGCCGAAGATCCTACTTTAAATCATTTGGCTGGAAATCTGACTATCACTCAAAAAGATGAACAAGCGGAAATAGCGGAGGAATGGAAGGACAGCTGGGATGGAGTGAGTGGCTCAGAAGCAGAACTAGCGTCGGCCATCCTGCCACAACCACAGTCCAAACGGCCACCACCACGCAAGCCCACCCACTTCATCTGCTTCCGTGTGGATTCTCCCGCTGCTCTCCAGGCCTTCCAGCGAGTTCAGAGAAAAGTTCTGTCCACCCTCCCTCAGTCAGAGCCAATGTGGGTTAATCCGGCAACTTTACACGTCACCCTCTCCTTACTTGTGCTCAACAGTGCAGAGGAGGTCAGTGCTGCCGCTGAGCTCATGCGCACCATAGTCCGAAGCTCCCACAAACCTCCAATTTCCGTGACGTTCGCACCTAAACTGAAGCACTTTAATGGAACCGTTCTCCACGTAGTCCCACAGCCGTCCTCAGATGTGCAGAGTCTGAATTCGCCCCTTCAAGAAGCCTTCAAAGATAAAGGTTGGCTTCACCGGCATTCCCGATGCCCGTCGTACCATCTCACACTGGCCAAAGTGAAGAGGGAGCCCAAGGCTGAGAAGATGTTTGAAGGGATCGGGACTGTGAAATTGGCTAAAGATGTCAACTTTGGAAAGCTGGAAGTAAATAAGCTGTACCTTTGCGTGAAAGGTCAGAGAAACACGGAGAGTGGGTTCTATCAGGTTGTATGTGCCGTGCAGCTGCCCAATGTGTAGTGCCTGGATTTGTCACCTAAGCTGATTTTACCTACATCAAATACTTGATGTGTTTTTACTTAAATAAACAGTCTCATGATTCAAGACTTGAAGGCAGTCACCATAGTGCAGGTGCTTATTTTAAATGCAGTAGTTGCAAAGAAAATGTATCTTTCTTTGTACAAAATGGATATTTAAAAAGTTCCTTTAACAAACTATATTGAATTTTGCTAACATTTTGATAACAATTATCTTCCTTTTACAAACCCAAACTTTGATAACACAAATTTTCAATTGTGGTTAGCACTGTCACCTCACAGCAAAAAGGTCGCTAGTTCGAGTTCTCGCTGGGCCAGGAGGCGTTTCTCTGTGGAGTTTGCATGTTCTCCCCGTGTTCCCATGGGTTTCCTCTGGGTGCTCTGGCTTCCCCTACAGTTCAAAGACATGCGCTATAGGTGAATTGGATGAGCTAATTTGTCCAAAGTGTATGAGTGTGTGTGTGTTTGTGTGTGTGTATGTGTGTGTGTGTGTTTTCCAGTACTGGGTTGCAGCTGGAAGGGCATCCGCTGTGTAAAACATGCTGTGGCGACCTCTAAAATCGAGACTAAGCTAAAATAAAATTAATAAATGAAAATTTCAATTCTTGATAACACAAAAATTAGCAACACTGCACTCACTGTAGCCCCTTTCACTCATACAGATCTTTCCAAAAAATTGCCGGCAATTTTCCGCAAACAGAAATTCCAGTCCTGGCAAGTTGCTGGAATGCTTTGCTGTGTGAACGCAGAAGGAAAATTGGCGGAAAGAGTGCGTTCACGCTTAAAACTCGCTGACATGAGACATCTACTCTAGCTAATCAGAACATTCAGATGAATTTACACTGTTTATGAAAATAAAAGCCTTTGAATTTTTTCCAGACACATTTAGCTGCTAGATTAAAGTCAGATAACATTTCTATGTTCCTACTGAATGCCGACTGTGTAAACTGCTCATGATAAACCGCTGTTTGTTCACATTTAAGCTCTGCTTCAGTTGTTTGACGCATGTGCACTAGGCATGGGCCGGTGTGGTCCCACTTTATATTGTCGCTTATACCTGTGAACTTACATGGTAACTCGATGTGTAATTAGTATGTAACTACAGTGTATGTAAACACTGGTACATGGTAGTGTGACAGGACATTAATAACAATCTTTAATACCCCTTTTAGTGCATATTACTGATGTAATTGTACAATTTACCAACATATAAACATAAGGCATTTGTATATTTCTATATGCACTTATACTTTTTTGGCAGAATGGCTTAAAATGGCTTAGGTTTTATATATTACACAGTAATTTTCGACCATTTTACACTTTATATTGAGTGGACAGTTCCTGAGGATTTACCCTGTTACACTGGTATCACAAGGTGAAGCATTAGTTCTGCCACTCTTATTCTAATACAGTGTTCAGAAGTACATGATATGCAAACAAGTTTGGAAATGGGAAAACACCTGCACTGTAAAGCATAAAAAGTTGAGTCAACTTAAAATTTTAAAGCAACCAGCTGAAAATAAATTTTGAGATCTTCTAAGCTTCAGTGGTTGAAGTGCTAAATTATTATTTTTTTTAAGTTGACTAAATAGGCTGGTTTAAGTCAAGTATACTTTACGAAATAATTTAGCACAACTTCAACCACTGAAGCTTGATAAACTCAACATTTCTTTGCAGCCGGTTGCTTTAAAATTTTAAACTCAACTTTTTATTTTTTACTAAACGCTCAAATTAAGAAAACAAAATTTAAAGGCTCCTCAACTGAATTTTTTACTTCAGTTGAACAAACAGTTCGAAACATTTCAGTTAATGACAGTTAAATCATGACAGTTAAATCATTTTCATGAGTAAATACAACTGTTATCACAAAAATCTAACTAAATTTAGTTAGATTCTAAATCTAAAATATGTCCATCTAACTTACGATTTTAATCTGAGTTAACAATTTGTAACTTGGATTTTTTTATATTGTTGTTACACAGTGCACTTATGTAATTTTTGTTACAGATGTGTACTTTTTTAGTGTTTTCACCAAAGTCCTGTTACACATTTAAACTCACACATACTATTCAGTGTGTTGGTACATGTGTTACATCATTATTACACAAGTTAATACTATCTACTAGCAAAGACTAGAAAACACAAGACGTGTCACTCGTATACTTTTGAATGGAGAAAAGTGTAACTGTCAATATGGCGATTAAAGCCCCGCCTTCTCGGAGCCAATCAGCGATTGCTATATGGTGAATAAAGCCCACTTTCTAATACAGTAGCCAATCAGCGATTGCTATAATGAAAATTCTCCAGGGGAGGGGCTCGGACCAGACACGAGTTTCTGCAGATTTTGTGTGATACGAACATTTAGAAATGAAACTAAATAGACAGTTGTTGCTTAGTTTTATTGGTGATTCGTAATATGAAATGTAATTGTAAGCTTTGCAAGTAGTTTTGGAGAATTTGATGTTTACCCATTCAGACAGAATGCCCGAGCATACTGCCCGAAAGGCGTTTCAAAGATGGCCGCCGAGTAAAATGACTTGCTTTAAAAGGACCTTGGTACCAGTGTATACATGCACTGTAGTTATAGTACATACGACTGTACTTACACATCTAGTTACCATGTAAGTTCACAGGTATAAGCGACACTTAATATAATGGTTTCACGGTATCACAGTATTGTGATTACTGCTCTAAAATATATATATATTTTTAAATGTCTGGGTAAAAAACAAAAACGTTTTCCCTTTTAAACACAATATATTATATTTGAATATTTTGGAACAGTAAACATGTCTGGCTAAATAAATTATAAAATAATTAAAAATGAATCATTGACTTCTGCTCTCTTCATTTATTTCAAAAACAGATATATTTTTACAATTTAAAATGGCTTCTTTGGATATCTTTTTTGCTGGTGATACTGTTGTCCTCAAAACAAACAAAAAAAATTTAGAAAAAAAAAAAAAGGTACACATACCTTAGGAGAAAGCAGAAAATAGCAGAAAATTTTGACGGTTTTAAAACCTTGACTTTTCCAAATCACAGTAAACCTTGAAAACGGTTATCGTCCCATGCCTAGTGTGCACATGAAGCAGCTGGTGAGCGCCAGCACACACACATTATGTACATCTCGACATGCGAAAGTGTTCCTACATATGTTTTCATTGAAGTTGTTCACAATACTCATCCATCCACAGAGTTTGTAATGTAGTCAAATGTTTACAGATACAAACGCAGCCGTTTAGAGCTCATTTCTGGTTAATGATGTCAGAATTTACAGGTATTTTGGAATGGACATGTAAATGGTGTTTTTCAGAAATATTCTGGAACATCCTTGCCTGTGTGAACAGTGCTTTTTTGAATTTTCAAGTTGTTCTGGAAATCTTCTGGATATTTATAGTTATCACTGTGTGCGAAAGGGGCTTGTAAGTTCTTTACACTCAGTTGATTGTAAGTTATTTTATGTGCTGTAATCTTAATTCAGAATGGAAGCAAAATTGTTTTGAATGGCCAAAAAATTGCACAGCTTTGACACACGCTTTATTTAATTTAATTGATTTTTTTCAATCTTAATTTTTAATAATATATTTAAAGAAACTATGTTCTATTTTTGTTTAGATGTACATCTAAGTACAAATATAGTTAGCTTTTCTTATTATTAATGTTTGTTTGTGAGTCAAAGATGAAAAAGAAATTGTCAACAAAAGCCCTACATATAAAAGTCATACTAAATTGTTTTCTTTTTTTAACTTATAGATTTTTACCCTGATTTTATACAGTGATTTTAGCTTACTGAAATATCTTTCAGTGTAGTTGTATATATCAATAAAAAAAATCTTGTCAGGAATAGTTTGAAGAATCATTTGATGACTCTTCGAAGATTGAAGTCTTGTTTTGTAAATTCTTTTACATTTAATACCTTGCCAATGTACAGTTGAAGTCAGAATTATTGGCCTCCCTGAATTATTAGCTTATTTTTCCCCCAATTTGTTTAATGGAGAGAAGATTTGTAACACATTTCTAAACATAACAGTTTTAATAACTCATTTCTAATAACTGATTATTCTATCTTTGCCATGATGACAGGTAATAATATTTTAGATATTTTTCAAGTCCTTTATATGGCTTAAAGTGACATTTAAAGGCTTAACTAGGGTAGGCAGGTTAGGATAATTAAGCAAGTTATTGTATAAGGATGGTTTGTTCTGTACACAATCGAGAAAAAATAGCGTAAAGGGGCTAAAAATTTTGTCCTTACAAAGACTTTGAAAAAATATAAAACTGCTTTTATTCTAGCCGAAATAAAATAAATAAGACTTTCTTCAGCAGAAATAATATTATCAGACATACTGTAAAAACTTCCTTGCTCTGTTAAACATCATTTGGGAAATATTTTAAAAAGAAAAAAATTCAAAGGGGGGCTAATAAATCTGACTGTATAAAGAAAATAACAAAAATGTTAAGTTGATCAATATTTTACCCAAATTTGTGCTAAAACAACCCAAGTGCAAAGGCATACACTGCTGGCTTAAAGCATGGTTATTTCTTGATTTCTTTTTCTTTCACACATTGTAAGATGTTGCTAAGTGGCTCAGTCCATTGCAGTATTTTTGGACCACTTATCAAATTGGACATGAGGGCGAATGTGTAATCTTTTTTCTTCGCTGAAAGTGGACTGCACATAAATAAATAATCCACCGCTGTGTATTTCAGCAACACACTCTCAATAATTCAAGATCAAACAAACAGCCTTGAACAGCTGTACGTTTAGCCCCTAAAAATGTCTTGAGACCCATTACATCAAACCGGAGATGAAATCAAACCAAACAGCTCAATTTATGAATCTTTTTTGTCTCGCGTATGCGTGCACATAACTGTAGCAGCTCTGTCTGAGAGATGTCAGCGAGGAAGTCTTGCATACCTAACATCATTTTCTCCTTCCTCCTGGAAACATGCACACACTACACACATATATATGAATGCTCGTGCAGTCGGTCTCTCCATCCCTGGCTCCCTCCCTCCTCCTGCGCTCCTCTATCCAGCACCCTTCCCCCATCCTCACTCGCTTTCTCTTTCAGTGACACAGAAAAACCAACACCACCCTCCCTCTCTCATGCATTCATATCCCCCATACTCCCTTGGCACACAAATACCCATCTCTCCATCCCTTCCTCGTTCTGTTGTTTTCATTGTAGTTTTTTTGGATTTAATCCACCATCTCAGTTAAACCTCACAACGACTGTCTAGCATCCTCTCAGCCCTTTCCATGACCTGCTTAATTTGTGGCAAATGAGGGCTTTAAATAATCATATAAAGCAGGGAATTCTGTGTTCATTGGTAAAGTGCACAAATTACATTTCAGAAATTTCCTCATGTGCATTTTTAAACTCAGATTTGACCAATGAATGGACTAGATATGCTGGTTTCACACAATCATCTGTCTTTTAGTCTGTCATTTTGTGTTGTGCTCTCTAAATACAGTACATGTGTAAATCCCTCCATCCCTTTTTGTCTCCTGCACACAAACACCCACAGTGTGTGTCTGTGTGTGTGTGTGTGTGAGAGAGAGAGAGATAGGGAGAGGGAAAGAGAAGTTCAGTCCTGATCATTGGGACCCTCAGGACCACACCAGTATTTTTAATCTGACATTCGCTTACTTAAATTAGGCTATTTAGAGTTTTAATATGGAACAGTTCATATAAACACACCTATTTTCCTACGAGAAATGTTTTAAAAAGCAAAATAGCAATAGTTAACGTGAGCATTTTGAACGAACACTCTTCAGCTGTAAGGATTTCAATTGCACTGGATGTTATGGATTTGCTATTTTTGCACACTGGACATTTATTTTGTGTGGAAGCTACGTCGACGACATAGTTGTGGGATTTCCTTCTGACTGAAGGCGATTAATTTCGGAAGTTTTTTCGGTTTCAATGAGTCCTTGCGTCCAGCAGTGGACGATGCTTCAAGTTCTCGGCGGATTTCAGATAGAGTGAAACTGACGGATAGGCGTCGGGATTTGAAGGAGTCATTCCTCTCCTAAAACACCCCTCGGGGATTCTCGCCTCTTCCTCTGAAGACCTGTTTCCCATCCATCAGCGAGCACAAAGACTGGAACTGAAAATAGCCTCCTGTAGTTTTGTCGATATCACACTCAGGATGCAAACCGTTTCAACGGTTACCGGTCTCAGTTTCTAATCGCAAACCAACTTAACGTTTCACGAGCCTGAGAGACGTGGAAGCACAACAAATTAAGGTGGGCAACCTTTTACAACTGTGCCATAAAAATGGGGTTCATTAGCCGTGTCAAATAGTGAAAATGTGTTCAGATAATTTAGTAGGGTGTGCGAGGGAATTGCGAGTCCATTCAAACAAAAGATCCCCGTAATGTTTCCTGACGCCAAGACAAAGAGCTGTGAGTATACTGTTGGATATGATTTCCATAAACAAGCATGCAAGTCAGTCAGTCTGTCAGGGAGAATAAGATCGATTGGTCTTGCGCGGGTCAGCTCACACAACAAGTGCAAACAACAATCAATCCTGGCCTATTTAGTTTCTGGTCATTTTGAAGCTTTCGTCAATACCTGTTTGTTTAGGAACAACTGTATTGTTGTGAATTATTGTCTATATATACATTTCTTCGTAAAGAGCTATTTTACTTATTGACACACCAAACATAAATACAAACCGTGGCCCCATGCAGTGACCCTTTTGAACTTTCTTCAGACCACCTTGTATGCCACTTATTTGTTCTGAATCACAGTAGTGATGAGTATGGCCTTTTTAAAAAGTAATAGTTCGCCCATAACGACAATTTCCGCACTATTTACCCTCAAGTTTGTGTAAGTTATTTCTTCTGTTAAACACAAAGGAAGATATCTTGAAGAGAGTCAAAAACCTGTGTCCTATTGACATCCATAGGAGCAACAAATAGGCTAACTTTTTATTTTATTTTATTTTTCCCAAATTATTTTTAACAGAGCAAGGACATTTTCACAGTATGTCTAATAATATTTTTTCTTCTGGAGAAAGTCTTATTTGTTTTCTATCTACAGAACAAACAATCGTTATACAATAACTTGCCTTATTACCATGACCTGCCTAGTTTACCTTATTAACCTAGTTAAGCCTTTAAATGTCACTTTAAGCTGTATAGAAGTGTCTTGAAAAATATCTAGTAAAATATTATTTACTGTCATCATGTCAAAGATAAAATAAATCCGTTATTAGAAATAAGTTTTTAAAACTATTATGCTCAGAAATGTGCTGAAACAATCTTCCCTACATTAAACAGAAATTGGTGTGTATATATATATATATATATATATATATATATATATATATATATATACACACATACATGCATACAGTAAAAAAAAAAAATATATATATATATATATATATATATATATATATTTTAAGTTAAAAAAAAAAAAAAAAAAAAAAATATATATATATATATATATATATATATATATATATATATATATATATATATATATATACATACATACATGCATACAGTTAAAGTCAAAATTATTGGCCCCCTTCAATTGTTTTTAAATATTTCCTAAATGATGTTTAACAGAGCAAGGACATTTTAACAGTATGTCTGATAATATTTTTTCTTATTTGTTTTATTTTGGCTGGATTAAAAGCAGTTTTTAATTTTTTTTCAAAACTATTTTAATGTCAAAATTATTAGCCCCTTTAAGCTATGAATTTTTTCGATAGTCTAACAAACCATTGTTATACAATAACTTCCCTAATTACCCTATCCTGCCTAGTTAACCTATTTAACCTAGTGAAGCCTTTAAATGTCACTTTAAGCTGCATAGAAGTGTCTTGAAAAAATATCTAGTAAAATATAATTTACTGTCATCATGGCAAAGATAAAATAAATCAGTTATTAGAAATTAGTTATTAAAACTGTTATGTTTAGAAATGTGTTGAAAAAAAATCTTCTCCTTGTTAAACATAAATTGGGGAAAATATACAGGGGGGCTAAGGGTCTAATAATACTGACTTCAACTGTATATAGCCTCATTTAATTATATTGTTTGTAATTATCTGATATATAAAACGGTTGATCGACTGTTTGAGTGAAGTCAGGTCATTATTTCCACAAAGTATTATAATAGCCATTTTAAATGTTAATGCTGTATGACTAATTATTTCACACCATTATCATTGGTCATTTGCTGGACTATTATTTCAGATTTATTACTTTCCAGAGGCAGTCCAGGCTTTGATTATTCATGGAGGGTGTTATTAGCAATTAAAATGCTGAGCTTTTGTTTATGCATAGCAAAGTTCAATGTAATCAAAGGTTAATTTTTTCTTTTAATAAAGCAGTCGATTATACAAATTAATATGCAGGGGGTGAGGGGTTCTGAGTTTAGTTGTATATGAAAATGATGTATTCTGAATTTAAAAGTATAATGGAAAATATTGCAAAGACATGACCACACTTTCAAATATCTACATGTCATTATCATGCTCATGTAATCATGTAAAAATTTCAGATTTATGGTTTAAGTGTTCATAAAATGTTATTGAGCTAAGCCAGATACGCATGTTTACTTCTAGTGTCATGAAATGGCAATTCCAAAAATATGTTTAAATCTACTGAGTTGTCATCAAGCTTAAAATGGCTTATTTTGGATGACAGCTCCTCTTGATGACATCATCAGTAATCCTGGAAACCATTTTTATTTTGCACATATCTGTTGTGTATAATTATAGCGAATCTAAAAAAAAAGACTATTTTACCTTTCAGTACAGAAATGAAAGGAATAAAAATGGAAGGTGTTTTGTTCTGCAAATCTTCTCTCTCTTGCTCCATTTCCAAACTGGCATTATGTCTCTTGCGTTATGCAATGCGATCCATTCTTATAATAAGCTGACAGGATGCATCATGCTCAGATGCGCTGTAGTGTTCCAGTCTCGGTCACGGTCTGCACGTTTATAACATCGTTTCACATTATTGTGCTTTTATTCCCAGTTGCATTTGAGAACGGGCTTTGTTGTGATAATTCTGCACCAAGCAAATCACCACAATTCACCAGTGTAATGCCTTGACCCACTGCATTCTGGTAGTTCACACTAACAGTAAATGAATAGCCTGCAGACATCATTATGAGCTAAATTCATCAGACACTATTGTAAGGGTTATTCGTGATGGAGTCTTTAGTTTCTTGCTCGTTTAGGAATGTGAGATGTTAAATGTTTAGATTAAGTCAGATGACATGGTCAGATCTTGGAAATTAAACTTGCAAATTGTTTTTAGAAAGGTGTTTAAGCATATTATGACTATGGTGTGATGTTACCTGTTTGATCAAACAATGCTGGACAGGTGTGGGTGCAAAAGGAACGATACTGAGTTATTAGTAGACCTGATTTAAGAACTGAATTTTTAATGTTTATTATTATTAATATTATTAATAAACATTATTGATTTTAATATTTGTGTGTCAGAACAACATATAACCAAAATTAATCTTTAAAATATGTAAAATGTACATGTCATCAAGGAATTCAAACTTGTATAGTCAAAAGTTCAGCACACGTATCAGTTGACCTCTAACTGAGCTATTCCAATCTTTCGGCAATTCATAAATTTTTTATTTACTGGCTAATTCGTACGATCTATTTTGTACAATTTATTAAAATTTACTCACCACCCAATGACGTTTGGGTTTAGGGGTGGAGTTGGTTGCCACGCCTCCTTTTTAAATTCGTACATTTTTATATGACTGAACTTGTACAAATTAGCCACTAAACTGACAAACGTAAAATACTTACGTTTTCTCATGAGATCAGGTAAGCCTCCTCAACTGCTCCAGAACGCAGCAGCACGAGTGGTCTTCAATGAACCTAAACCAGCACATATCACTCCGCTGCTAGACCGTTTGCACTGGCTGCCAGTTGCTGCTCGCATCAAATTCAAAGCTCTGATGTTTGCCTACAAAGTGACTTCTGGCCTTGCTCCTTCTTATCTGCTCTCACTTCTGCAGATCTATGTGCCCTCCAGAAACTTGCGTTCTGTGAATGAACGTCGCCTCGTGGTTCCATCCCAAAGAGGGAAGAAATCACTTTCGCGAACGCTCACGCTCCATCTGCCCAGTTGGTGGAATGAACTCCCTAACTGCATCAGACCAGCAGAGTCACTCGCTATTTTCAAGAAACGACTAAAAACTCAACTATTTAGTCTCCACTTCACTTCCTAATCTGCAATTGCCTTTCTGAATATCACACTAACTGTACGAAAAAAATAAAATAAAAAAAAATACTAATACTACTAATACTTCCCTTCTTAGACTTTACAGACCTGAAACTTGCCTATAGCACTTATTCATTGTTGCTCTTAGTTGTGTAAATTGCTTCCTTGTCCTCATTTGTAAGTCGCTTTGGATAAAAGCGTCTGCTAAATGACTAAATGTAAATGTACTCAGGACTATACAGAGTTGAGTTTGATATCTTTAACAGTCAACTTATGGTTTGCTTTGGTTGTGGACTCATGTTTCTGCAAACTCTCACGTTGATATTTTCTCAGAACAGCTCTGAATGACAAAACAATGTTTTATCGCAATTGGTCAGATCATGGAAATGAAACTTGCGATTTATTGTTGGAAAGTGTTTAAACATCTTATGGCTGTGAGGTTACCTGTTAGTCCAAATAATGCTGGATTGGCATTACTAGTTTTTCATTCAGCTTAAAGTTATATTTAAAGACTTAACTAGGTAAATCTGTTTAAGTGGGCAAGTTGGGTTAATAAGGCAAGTCATTGGATACAAGTGGTTTAATCTGTGACCAATCAAAAAAAATCATATCTAGTTAATAATATTGATCTTAAAATGATTAAACATATTATATTGAACTTTGAATAATTTTTTTAAAGGTAAAAATTCATTTTATTGCAGCCAAACTAACATAAATGTAAGACTTTTTCCAGAAAAAACAAAGCAAATACTGTGAGAATTCTTGCTCTGTTAAGCATCACTTAGGAAATATATGAACTATTTGAAACTTTTTTTTTTTATATCGATGCAGAGGATGTTGCAGACATATAATCGTAAAAATTATTTTGCTGCCTGTTCGAACAACTTATGTACAATGAGCTAAATCAACACAGTTCTTGAGGGTTTTTTAATGCTTACAACTTAATTGCTTTATTTTCAGTCCACTTTCAATCCACAATCCAAATATGTTACGTTAACTTAATCGATTTATGTTGTGACAGCATAAATGTATTG